CATGTAAAATACACTACGGAGAGCGAGTGGGGCTGTTCACAGTTTAAACGTGGAGGAAAAACGTAAAACAAAGTAATGTACTAGCTAATAAGAACACGGTAAAAACATTGTTGTTTGGCTTATAGCAATATACAAACAATATAAAGTAAATACTGTGTAATATCCAGGTCAGCATCGTTCCGTTGAAAACACGTTTAAAATACGTCTATGGTCTCCGGTGAAGAGACCTTCAAAACTGGTCTAAAGTTCAATTTAATTCAATTCAATTTATTTTTGTATAGCCCAAAATCACAAATTACAAATTTGCCTCAGAGGGCTTTACAATATGCACACATTTGACATCCTCTTGTCCCGGAACCCTCACATCAGAAGAGGAAAAACTCCCCCAAAAAACCCCTTTAACAGGGAGAAAAGAGGAAGAAACCTTAGGGAGAGCAACAGAGGAGGGATCCCTCTCCCAGGATGGACAGAAGTGCAATAGATGTCACGTGTAGAACAGGATAACTGAATTACAACACATTCAATGTAATTACAGCACATTCAATGTATGACAGAACCACGGCAGGAGGCAAGACCAGGTCCAGGTATAACCCGGATACACAGGAACCTGTGAGGCGAGAAAGCACAAACACTGGTGAAGAAGCAGGTCAATAATGTGCATTTAATGGTATCGGTAATATGAAATAGTCATAATAAAAATGATATTAGCAGTTGGAATCAGCAGGGCCATGGTAGGAGGAAGGACCAGGGTCCAGATGAAACCATGCTCCATGGAAACCTGTGAGGAGAGAAAGCACTAGGACTCCGGGGAAGAGACAAAGTCAGTAATGTGCACTAATGGTATCGGTAATAGGGTTATTAATGTCAATAATGAAGATCGTAGTAGGTGTCAGCAGGGCCATGGCTGGTGGAAGGACCAGTGTCCAGATAAAACTGTGGTCATGGGAACCTGTGAGGCGAGAAAGCACAAATACTCCGGGGAAGAAGTAAAGTTAGTAATGAGCATTAATGGGACATCAATGCATACAGACAAGAGATGAAGAAGAGGAGAGAGGAGCTCAGTGTATCCTAGGAAGACCCCCTGTAGTTTTTGCCTATACCAGTTTGTCTAAGGGCCGGTCCAAGGCAAACCAGAGCCAGCCCTAACTATAAGCACTATCAAAAAGGAAAGTCTTAAGCCTACTCTTAAATGTGGTGAGTGTGTCTGCCCCCCGGACTGAAACGGGAAGCTGGTTCCACAACAGTGGTGCTTGATAACTGAAGGCTCTGGCTCCCATCCTACTTTTTAAGACTCTAGGAACCACAAGTAACCCTGAATTAATGGAGCGCAGCTCTCTATTAGGGCAGTATGGTACTATAAGCTCTTTAAGATATGATGGTGCCTGACCAATTCGGGCTTTGTAGGTAAGTAAAAGGATTTTAAATTCTATTCTAGATTTTACGGGGAGCCAGTGCAGAGAAGCTAATACAGGAGTAATATGATCTCTTTTCTTAGTTCTTCTTAGTACACGAGCTGCAGCATTCTGAATCAGCTGGAGCGATTTAAGAGACTTATTAGAGCAGCCTGAAAATAAGGAATTGCAGTAATCTAGTCTAGAGGTAACAAATGCATGAACTAATTTCTCTGCATCGCTTTGAGACAGGATGTGCCTGATTTTTGAAATATTACGTAGGTGAAAAAAGGCAGTCCTAGAAATTAGTTAAAAGACAAATCCTGATCAAAGGTAACTCCAAGATTCTTTACGGTGCTGCTGGATGCCAGCGCAATGCCATCTAGTGAAACTATATCATTAGATAACTGATTTCGGAGGTGTTCTGGGCCTAGTAGAATAACTTCAGTTTTGTCTGAGTTTAACATCAGAAAATTGCAGGTCATCCAGGTTTTTATGTCCTTAAGACATGCTTGCAGTTCAGCAAGCCGATTAGTTTCATCTGGTTTGATAGATATATATAATTGAGTATCATCTGCATAACAATGAAGGTTTAGAGAGTGTTTTCTGATAATATTGCCTAAAGGAAGCATATATAAGGTGAACAGGATTGGTCCAAGCACAGAACCATGTGGAACTCCATAACTGATGTTGGTCTTCATCGAGTCTTCATTGTTTACATATACAAACTGAGATCGATACAATAAATAGGCTCCAAACCAGTTCAGTGCGGTTCCTTTGATGCCAATATAATGTTCTAGTCTCTGCAACAGGATGTAATGGTCTATAGCAGTGGTCCCCAACCACCGGGCCGCGGACCGGTACCGGGCCATGGATCATTTGGTACCGGGCCGCACAGAAAGAATAAATATTATATTATTTCCGTTTTATTGATTATCAGAGTCTGAAAGAAGTTTCATTTTGAAAAATGACCGGATTCTCTCGCAATTTCATCCGCCTGTGCTTCCTGACACATGTCAAGAAGCTCGTCTCGGTCACGTGATTCGTTACCTCAAAAATTAAGTCCGCAAACTAGCGAAAATGAGTAAATAACTTTTGGAGAGCTTCTTTGCAAAGGGGAAAGGCCCACTAAGGAGACAGAAGAAGAGCCTACAACTTCCAAGAAAATTAAAGCTTTTTTTAATAACCTCTGTGTTTGTGTGTCAAACATTATGAATATGTCTCCTCTCCCCCACCCAGTCCCACCCTTTCAAAATAAAAGCCCCATAGAGTAACTGTATCTAAACATGAAGCACAGAATGAGGTTTGTACAGAAATTATGGGAGCTGACGCTCCCATAATTTCCAAAGGCTTCTCAAACAAAGATGTACATGTCCAGTACAGAAATGACGGGAGCCATTTGTGGACTGTCCATCACGAATACAAGATTCAATCCAAGATTATGAATCTAAAATGCAGAAAAGAGAGAAGCGATATATCAATTGAACCTCAACGATACTACTGGTAACATCGGCGTGTGTAGCTATATATTGCGACTTCTTCGGGCAGTAGAAGCCACACTGTCAAAATTTCTTTAGGAATTTTCTAGTTATTATTGCATTCCACATAAAAATATTTCCGACATCTTCCCAATGATAAAGGCCATTTTTAAGATAAACAGTTACTTACTGTATTACAAAGTTTTATTCAACCGAGACCGTACCTGTTTTTGCTTGCATTTGTTGGTTGAGTTTTTGTGGGAGTAGTCCAGGCCAATCTCACCAAATGCCACAGCTTTTGGATACCGCATGGCCATCAGTATGTCGCTCTCCTGGACAGTTAAATAGTCTTTGGCAAAGTGGGGGTGGCACCCAAATGCTCCCCACACCATGTCTTCAGCCAGCAAACCTTCCCACAGGGCCTCCTTCACCATGACCCTTGGGTTGCAGAAGTTGGCAATGCAGCCTCTAAACTATGAATCTATGGGGTATTGTCAAGAGGAAGTTGAGAGACATCAGAACCAACAATGCAGACGAGCTGAAGGCCCCTATCAAAGCAACCTGGGCTTCCATAACATCTCAGCAGTGCCACAGGCTCATCGCCTCCGTGCCACGCCGCATTGATGCAGTAATTCATATAAAAGGTGCCCCGACCAAATGTTGAGTGCATACTGTATACCAGGGGTCACCAACCTTTTTTAGACTGAGAGCTACTTCAAGGGTACCGAGTAGGACGAAGGGCTACTTATTTGATACAAACTTCCTGAATAACAAAATTGCACAGATCACCTTAATAATAATAATATATGTGAAGAGACTGTTTGATCACATGTCAGTTAATTATTCCTCACAATAATTATTAACAATAATTTCCACAACAATGATGGTATAGCTACACATACATATTTAAACATGCAACTTTTATTTCTGTTAATCTGTTTCAACATTTGAAAGTCAGAGGTATCACATCTCTGATATTTTTGTATCATCACATGATTAAAGCCGGTTACTTTTGCACATAGTGCCTGCTGGTGAATGATCCAGTGGTAATGTAGACATTTTGGGAAGTCTGGGTCACTTTTGCATTGCGCAATGAAGCCTGCATGCCGGTCCGTCATCGCGGGAGCCCCGTCTGTTGTCACCGACACCAGCTTTTCCAATGGTACCTTTTTCTCCACGAAGAAACTAGTAACCGGTCTCGTCTATAGCCTGGCGGGGGATGCGTCTTCGGGCGCCCGCGTTCAAACCTCTAGTCTGGGCCTTTTCGGTTGGATTGCGTTGCCTCGCCTCTACCCCCACCACCCCTGAGTTGTTGCCCCGCGGCCTGTACTGAGGATTTACGGACCTGACGACGGGGTGCGCTCGCGGCTCGCGTCTGGCACCAACGGGATGCGCCTGCCATTCAGAACCTGAAAACCTAGTGCGGTGCGGCAGCCTCGTCCTGGCTGTCCGCCCAGCACCTGTCAAAAGTGATTTTGGTCACACTACACTATAACAGTAAAGTTATTGAATATTATTTTCAATAAAAATTAACTAAAATTAATCAAAATCATATTTTTTCAAAATAACAGTTGTAGTACAACAAAGAGGAGCCCATTGATATATTAAGTGATTTTGGTCATGCTACACTTATTAACAGTAAAGTTATTGAAAATTATTTTCAATAAAAATTAACTAAAATTAATCAAAATCATATTTTTTCAAAATAACAGTTGTAGTACAACAAGAAGGAACCCATTGATGTATGAAGTGATTGTGGTTACATTACATTGCATGACAGTGAAGCTATTGAATATTGTTGTAGTAATTGAAAATTATTTTCAATAAAAATTAACTAAAATTAATCAAAATCATATTTTATCAAAATAAGAGTTGTAGTACAACAAAGACGATCCCATTGATGTGTGAAGTGATTTTGGTCACACCACTTATTAACAGTAAAGTTATTGAAAATTATTTTCAATACAAATGAACTAAAATTAATCAAAATCATATTTTTTCAAAATAACAGTTGTAGTACAACAAGGAGGAGCCCATTGATGTGTTAAGTGTTTTTGGTTACATTACATTGCATGACAGTGAAGCTATTGAATATTGTTGTAGTAGGTATTTTCCGCATTGCACTTTGTAGAAGGTCCCTGCACACTCGTCTCGCAGCCGGCCGCTCATTGAGACTAATGCTGTTTGTCCAGCTCGGAGGACCCCGTAAGACGGCCCGTTTTAATTAAATTAAGGTTGTAGCTTGTTGTCTACCTCACTACGGTTACAGGGAGGTATCATTTGTATTTTAGCAACGTTTCGTTAACGATTTATTGTACCGGGAAGTCCGAATCTTTCAATATCTTTCTAACTTTACCTAACCATAGGCTATCGTGACATGCGGCAAAATTAACACTTTTTAGCGCTCAAATTAAATTAAATACAATTAATTAAAGGATTTAATCTAAATCTGTGTTGTTACTGTACACCGCTCAAATATTCTGTTTCAGGGGAATATGTCACAGTACAGAAGCTTAAGACTTCTAATTCACTTGGACTTCAATATTACTATCAGCAGCTAGCGGCGGCCTATGAAGCTAATGCTAACAGAAATGTCCTCACATATACAATGTAAGCATATCCACAGAGTAATATCACAGCAATGAACACTGCAACAAGAACAATGCTAATCTGTGAGCCTGCAAGCTAGCTAGCTAGCTAAATACATGAGTCACTTACCTCAGACAAGAAGGCAAAGAGGGAAAAAGCAGCTATAATACAGTATTTATAGGAAAGCCATAATAATATGGGCCAATCACATCCTGGGAAAAAAATTCATCCTATCAGTCAACTTCAATTTGAAGAAAAAAAAACTGCTTTGTACAGAGACGCTGTGTGACGCAGCAGCACACTTCATAAAAGGCTGCTACAGAGTAAAATCTTACTAAACAATATGTCAGCCATTTTGTCCTGTTTAACCAAAGCTAGTAAATCGTAATTTATATAGTACAAAAGAAAACAGGAAAACATATTATGTTCCCAGCAAGCATTTAATTTAGGTCTCAAGAAAACTTGAATGCAAAAGCAGATATCTATTGAAATTCAACACTTGGTCAGTTGTGATAGCTAAGGAAACTACAACATTGTGTACCTTCATTTATTAACATCGCATAACACGAAGAAGAACCAAACATTATTTTTAGTCGTCACAGTGAGTTTCTAGATTCGTTTTTGGCACAATCTGAATAAAAGCCATTGCTCTAGACTCCCAGTCTAAGCCTTCTCTTAGCCCACCTTTATCCTTGCGGACTCTGGCGTCTTCTTAGGTCAAGGGAACCCAGCGCTTACTGCCTAACCCCAAGATATTCAACCTCCAAGGCAGACACCAAACGCTCACCCCTAGTATTCCAGTCTTAGGTCCAAGGAATCCAATGCTTACAACGTCTACCCCTCTCCAAGGTCTACAACATGCAACATACAACGCTAACACTCATCCTTGCACCAGTCCTCCTTCTCTAGATAACATTTATCCTTACGGACTCTAACATCTCTTAGGTCAAAGGGCTTCAGTCCTTCACGTCTACACTGTCAAACACTCATGTCGACATGCAACGCCAAACACTGACCCCTTCTATTCCAGTAACCCAATCGTGATGCCCAGGAAAATGCTAGGATACAAGGTTAACCAACATCCACAATAAACCCACAAAACAAAATTAAAAAACCCAATGTGAACAATAACAGACATATTTGCTTTTCAGTCTCACGATATGGTTTCCCTGGATCAATTTCACTCATACGATTAAATAAATTTAAAAAATGTCAGCGACTCACCAAATGAGAATTTGTAGTTATTCGGATGTGGAATCAATGTAGAAACACTTTTTCTGTGATTCGGGGGGAAACCAGTCAAAGCATCTTCTTACTGTGAAACTATTTATGAATATTCCATTTCTCCTTCAGTTCAAACTACCACCACTTATTGTTTTTAATACCAGATTTGTCAACAGGTTGTTTAAATCAGTGGTTCTCAACTGGTCTGTCTGCGGGACCCACCATCACCCCTTAATGACAAGCCGCGACCCACGACCCAAA